GGGCAAGAAGGTGTCCGATTGAGATTTAAGCAACTTGGGCCTGGAGGCTTTGAGATCTGGGTGCTGATAGGGCGTCTTTTATTGGGGGGGGCATGACACAAGCTTCATTTCAGGATTAGTCAGCTTTCAGCCTTTAGGGCAGAGTGAAGCAGTCCTTTGATCGGGGGGCTTCTGTCCGCAGACGGGGAATCCAAAGCTTGCGGACCCAAAAGACCCCCCCCCCTCCCCCGCTGAGTCACAGGCACAGCAATGTGGGCGGTCGGAAAAGGTCAGCGTCGACACGTTTCTTCACGTGGGCATCGTTTTTCACAAGAGACTCACCAGTGAGGTCGCTGGTTTGAATCCCATGACCGGCACAGTGGCATCATCCTTGGACCCTTGAACCAAGTCTTTAACCCTTAGCTGCTCAAGGGACTGTCTGGCCCTGCAGTTGTATGTCACCTTTGATGAAACTATCTGCTAAATAAAAGTAAATGTATTCCCATTGTGTACAGAGGGGAGAAAAGCCTTGATATCAAATCCCAGGAAGGTTTCTGCTGTTATACCCTTACATCAAATCACCTCTACTCATCTGGCTGTACAAACCAGTTAAATTGTAATCAACGTCAGCTGCCTACATGAGATAAAGCATTTGGAATCACTGGTGTGGGCTCTGGTCTCGTGACTGACCACTTGCGACATGCGACTCAGAAGTGCTCAGTTAAAACCTTTCCTCCCTTCCTTCCTGGTGCCCGTCTGGCAATCTGGGGCCGCCATGACGGACAGATAAGGTACAGTGCTCAAAGACGCGTTAACTCCTCTCGCTAAGGACTCCTTTTCAAACTCCGGTGCCCTGAAAGTAAAGACTTCCTGGCCGTGTTTAAATGACACCTAAATATATGCCCGCCATCTGGAGCTCCGGGTTCAAGCTGCCGGAACCAGTGTGAGCAGACCTCAGGTTTCCTTCCCGGTGACTGTCCAGCAAATTAAACAGAAAATCGCTAACCTTGGGACGGCGTTCACTTTCATTTCTCAAACTCGACACTCCCGGCGCTGTGCAAACTCCGTTTCAGCCGGCGCTTCCTCCCTCCTCTGGCCCCATTCCCAAAAGCTGGAGCCCCGGGCCAGGCAGAAGGAGGACCAGAACCGGGCCCTGCCTGCCAGAACCCCCCTAATTACATTATGCGAGGATTTTGCACTACATCTAGTCATTTGAGAAACGACTTCCTGTTTCTCATTTATTACAAGACCCTCGCTGTGTCCTTGCCAATGTACTGTATGGGACTTATTTCTTTGTTCTCTTTTTGATTGGCCAGAGTATGAAGCCCCCAGTTAATTTAAGTGGTGGATATGAAACCATCGGAGAGCCTCCGAGGTTTGGCACCAAGTGGATTTTCTCTGTGGCTTCGTAGAAAAGCCTCGTGTCACTCAGGCCGTCCGGCCTGCTAGATGCGACATTCTGACCCCTGACCTCCGGCATGTGACTCCGATCAGTTTGGCTATTGGCTACCCACTGGCGGGGGATCAGTGCTGTAGATCTGCAACATTCACAGGTAAAAGGAGACATTCTCAGAAATGAAGGTCTCTCTTTTATGCGCGTTAATTAATAATACAGAGTCAGAAGAACACTGGCCCTCTGCTCGCTGTCACATCAACCAGAGCTCATCTCCCAGTAACCGAGGGTCAGGTGGTCTCTCCCATGTGGATTACGCTTGGCCGGGTCTTTATCGCTATTGCGGAAGTACGGCGATTCAAACCGACAACGTGTGAGGGAAGGTTCGGACCAACGCTGACCCTCCCCGCAGCTGTAACCTGACGTTTAATTAAGATCCGCCGACCGTACACGACGGCACGTGAAGGCAAGCGGCCGGCAGGAAGTGGACCAGCCCCCTGGCGTCTCTTCCTTCACATCCCTGGTGGTCTCCTAACCAACAGCTGCGCCGAGCTCAAGCCGCAAGGAAAGGCGAGGCCTGCTGGACCACATGGACCAAAACGTTTGTGGAGGTCTGGAGGTATGGGGAGGTCTAGCCCCGCGGCCCTTTTAGCACTAGCCGTGTTCTTCCATGTAGATCATAGGACAGTCTGCAGTTTAACACCCCCAGCGTAATGTTCGTTGTGCTCAGATGCGGATAGACAAACTGCTGTCTCTGCATGACCCATAGTGTCTGATACTGTTTGTTTTCCGTTTCTCGTTGTCGGGTCTAAAACATGGGCTAGTGTTTGGCTTGTTGGCTTAGGCTCGTGCCGGTTTCTTTCTTGAACTAAGCCTTTAACCCGTAATTGCTCCAGGGACAGTCTGACCCTGCTCTCTCTCTCAGTTGAACTGTATAAATGTAATATAATGTGTTTGGGCAACCTGCAATAGATAGCCATCTAGTCCATGGTAGCCCACAGCCTCATACCCTATATTGCTTGGGACAGACTCCAGGCCCTTCAACATCTCTATACTGGTTCTGCTCTTTGAGGAGAGATGGATGTTCATTGGATGATGGCTTACACAAATGGGAAGATTACGATAGACATGATAGAACGTGTATTTCTTAAGCCTTTAAATGTTGAGTCCAAGCAAGGGTGTATATAGGGGCGGGGTCACAAGGGCACTGGCCCCATCTGCAAGCTGATTGGCCCCCAGAATGCCTACTCCCCTGTCACTCACCGATTCAAAACATAAGATTGGCTAATGAAAAGGGTGGTTCCTCTGTATGGACTACGCCCTTCTTACGTCCCCCACCTGATTGTAAGCCCAAGACTATATCCTGGGTCCGAGGCGGTTCCGGACGGAGGACTCACCCTCGTAGCAGACGGTGTCACGCATGGTGGTGCACAACTCCAGCGGCGGTTCGTCGTCACAGATGGTGCAGGGCAGGCAGGGGTCCAGCATGCTCTCCGTCTCGGAAAACGTGTCTTCGGGGCACACCTCGCAGAGGGTGTCGCTGTGGTGATCGCACTGGACCAGCATGCCGTGGCCTGGCAGGCAGCTGGTGCAGTGCTCGCAGCGGCCCGTCGTCTCGTTCATGTAGAAGCCGTAGTTGCAGCCGCAGATGGCGTCGTTGGTGTCCGTGCATGGGGTCAGCATGCGCATCTGGCCCTCGCACTCCGTGCATGACCTGCACGGCTCGCTCAGGCTGTACTTGTCCGAGAAAGTCTCACCTAGTGGGGAGATGCAGAACATGACATAAATACCCCGCCCCCTTAACAGCTGTCACCAAAAAGCAATCATAACAAGGTGAAGTTAAATTCTCAAATGTGATTGGTCAGAAGGATGCAAATAAATTTTCTATAACATCACACCTAGTCCCAGCCTGACAAATCACAGTTACTAATCAAAACGTGATTATAATTCCAACTAATGTTACTTAAAATTCCAGACGTACAACACAATTTAAAACTAACGGAATTGTTTCATCATTAGCAGTTTTTGGTTCGTAAATGTGGGAATACTGCCTTCAGGTACAAACATGTACGCCAAATGTGTGGTAGCTATGGTACGATGGGTTTAATGCATGCCAAGCCACGCATTACATGTTTGTAAACGCATTCTGCTGCAGGTTGGGTGGTTCGATGCATCTGTAGCTGTGCATTTAAAAACATATAATCCACGGCGTGTTGTGCATCAACCCTTATTTACAGGAACTTATGCTTAAAGCCAAATTACATTCACATCCAAACAGCAGAAATACCTTGAGCGAAATTCACACCGCATCTCGTTCAAATCAGAATTGGGCAACTATAAGTAAATGATTAGCCATCATATCATCGTGGTGTAAAGTGGTCATTTGCGAAAACTGTGACTTTAAAAGGGGGTTTCTGTG